ACCAAGTGGCTGCGGGGACCGGCATCTCAGTCCGATAGAGAGGTTCCATCTTTGGCTATAGGGGGTGAAGTTTTGTCCCTTGTAGACAGGGCGCGCAACTTGGGTGTCCTCCTGGACTCACGGTTGAGTTTAGAAGATCATATAACAGCCGTGACCAGGGGGGTATTTGCCCAGGTTCGCCTGGTGCGCCAGTTGCGCCCCTATTTGGACCGAGACGCCTTATGCAGTTACTCATGCGCTAGTCACTTCCCGTATTGACTACTGCAATGCTCTCAACTTGGGACTGCCCTTGAAGACCACTCGGAGGCTTCAACTGGTACGGTATGCGGCCGCGCAGGTTGTGATGGGAGGGTCCCGATACTCCCATGTTACACCTCTCCTGCGCGACTTGCATTGGTTGCCAGTTGCCTCCGGGTGAGATTCAAGGTGCTGGTGATGACCTATAAAGCCCTACATGGCTTAGGCCCAGGATATTTGTCGGACCATGTGCAACCAGCAACAGCTTCCCATCGCCCGGTGCGTTCTCACAGAGAGGGCCTACTCAGGGTGCCGTCGGTCAGAAATTGTCAGCTGGCAGCCCCCAGAGGTAGAGCTTTCTCTGTGGGCATGCCCACCCTTTGGAATCAACTCCCCCTGGGGCTCCGGTTAGCCCCTGACCTTCACACTTTCTGCTGCAAACTAAAGACATGGCTGTTTAAATTGCCCAGCCTGGACTGATGGGGTTTGGTTATTTTAATGAGTTTTAACATACGTTTAATTTGTATTTTAATATGTTTTTATCTGGTTTGATTTTAATTGTTGTGAGCCGCCCTGAGTCCTATGGAGATAGGGCGGCATACAAATCAAATTAAATAAATTAAATAAATAAACTTGCATCCCAAGAAAAAGGCAAGAATAAATAAGTAACAGCAGAATGGAGCATTAAAAGTCATGCATAAGTCTAAAACTTAGTACCTTTGAAAAGCTTGTTAAATCTTATTAGCTGAGAATACATGACACTCATTAGAGAAGAAAATGTAACATACCTAGGTACATCTGTGTCAATTTTAATAAAATAATAGTTCCATGTTTGAAAAAAGTTTCAGGAAATACCTAAATAGGCTTGAAGGAACTTTGAATAGTTTACAAAGATTACTCCCTCATTTTATCCCTCCCATGATCCACTCTGTCAGGTGCATTGGGCTGAGAGAGTTACTGATCCAAATCACTAGAGGAATTGCCTAATCTTGTCTTTGGTTCTCCTCAGTCTTTGCTCAAGACATTATGTGTCATGAGACATATCATCAATGTTTATATGGAATTAGTTAATTCTAGATGTCTGATAGGAAAATAAAGAAAATAGATTATGTAGAATAGCTTTTCCCAATCTATTGTCATCCAGTTCTACTGACCTGCTAAGAACACCCTGCAGCTCCAATATAAAAGGTTAGTTAAGTAACACTGTGAACAGCTGCGCTTCTTAATGCTTTAAATGTTTTCAAACAGAAAACTACAAAATTACTCTAGCATTTCTATATCTAATATGGCATTATTTCATATTCATTACACCGTAATGGGTATGAGTATAATGCCTCAGAATAGCCTTCCTTAACTTGAGCATATTTACATGCATGAATGTTTTGGAAACAATCTAAACCTAGCATCTTTTGCGTCATTTTACTATTAGCAATCTATAATAAAAATTGAATTCTGAGTGTCTAACATAAATCCTTATCATAACTTACCCAAAGAACTGAGAGTCACATAAGATTCTCCAGTCCATCTACAAAAATCAGAACCCTCACTCTCCCACACATAGAATTACGGTTTAAAATTATTATTTTATTTACAGTGGGTATGTAGCTAACCTAAACTTAGACAGTTCCAGACTCTCCTAAAGAAGGAAAATTGAACAACTGTATATAGATAATCCTCAACCTAACGGGGACCAGAATTTCCATTGTTAAGCAATGCATTGTTAAGGAAGTTGCACCTGATTTTATGACATTTTTTTGTCATGGATGTTAAGCAAATCATTACAGTTTTTAAGTGAATCATACTGTCATTAAGTGACTCTGGCTTCCCCCACTGACTTTTTTTGTTAAAAGCCAACTGAGAAAATTGCTAATGGCAATCACATTACCCCAAGATGCTGCATCTACTGAAAATACATGCCAGTTCACAAGCACTCAAATTTTTATCACATGACTGTGGGGATGCTACAATAGTTGTAACTGTGAGGATAAGTCATAAGTTACTTTTTTCAGAGCTGTTTTAACCAAACAAATGGCTGTAAGTCAAGGGCTACCTAAATTCATTATATATGAATATTTGTATAGCTAAAGGACTCTCTTTCCCCAATTACATCTACTTGCCCTATCTGGCAGGAAAGGCATGTTGCAGATCCATCTGCTAAGAAGTTCCATCTGAGAGGTGCCAGGAGACAAGCCTTTTCTGCCACATAGAACCTCATCCTACCTCAAGATCAGCCCCAATCATAGTGACTTTCTAGAAATCCTCAAAATGTGGCTTTCAAAAGTTCAGGAGACACACACACACAGCCCCGATAAGAGAGAACATGCAAATTGATTGCATCAGATCTAAGATTCTCATGCATTCTTTCTCGTGATAGTGAAGGAAAGTTTGTGTTTAGTCTACTAGACATTTTTAAAAACAATTTATTTTCTTTGTATTTTAACTATAATTGAACATTTTTTCTATTTTCTATATGCCATTGTTTTGGGTAATGTTTGTAGTAGTAAGGTAGATTATTCAATTATTAAATCAGTAGGAATATATTGCTCATAATCTAGCACAGAAGCTCATAAATATTTCAGTTGAGCATATGTATTTGTCACCAGATGTACAATGTTTTCAGACATATTCCTAGCAGTCTGTTTTAGTAAATCACAATGGTTGTTTTAAGGATTTTCTCCAAATGCAATATTCCTTATCACATTTGTTTATTAGCAGTTCAATGCATACATATCACAAAACTAAAGAAATATTAAAATTGCAATCAATCATTAATTTATTAAGATGCCTTCTTATATTCACATACTCTACAGAGTAAGCTCTACCAAACTCAGTGGGGCTTAATTCTTAGGAAACATACAGTATGTATTTGTAAATATGTTTATAAATTAAGGAGATCATAGATTATTTCCAATATTGAAAGCATGGACTTCATATAGTAGAAGTCCGCTTCTTGTACTTCCCCTCTTATACCTCTATGCCTCTAACTCTTTGGAGTGACACTTAGAACTATTTTGTTCTTCTAGTTATAAAAGGCTCATTAGATTACCCTTTTCATTTTTAGATGATAAATGTCAAGTACCTTAGAAAAAAAAACTTGTTGGAAGAATTATTGTTATTAGCATGTGAATGAAAATGTCTTGTTTTTATAAGACAGAGCTTCTCTGCTGTTTTATAAATGTTTCTACTAAAATTAAGTTGAAAGGAATATGTATCCAATATATCATGCAATATTAGGATCTTTCTCTTATCTGCCATCCTCAATACACATTTAGCCTCAATTCCAACACCTTAGTTGCACAGCCAAAGGAATAGGATATGAGAAACCGGGAAGGCCACAGTATTTAATTTTATGTCACTAACAAAAAACCTAAAAGGACAAATATTAAATAACCATATTATTCTAACCTTAACCAACTGATATAAATAATAATCTTCTGCACTAAGCAGTGTTATTTTTCCTCTTCATACCCACCCCCACCCCATCAAAATAAAAGCAAACTATACTGGAAACTAGTTTACATAAAGTTATTTATATTTTGTTTTTCTTTACTCCAGCATTTTCAACCTTCAAATATGAACTATTTAATATAGTGTTTTCCTAAGCTATCTGAACTGGGCTTGCTTTTTAATATTAATAGATAAATAAAAAGTAATAATTACAAAATGTTTTTAAGTACACCACTTGCTACTAAAAAACATTGACTTCGAGTATCACCTTTGTTCTTCTTTTCTATATACTTGCAACGCACTGCTTGATTTTTTTAGGATTTTCTCAGATACAGATGTGTAACTATATAGTTTCCAGTGTTCCCTTTTTAAACAAAGAAACAACATTAGTTATTTTCCAATCATCATCATCTATTAAACTTATATGCTATGTGACTTTTAATATTTTTTTTCATATGGCAACAGATATACAGTTACACTTAAACAATAGTTCCGTTCAAAGTTACAGTGTTCAAAGTGACCATTCAAAGTTGCAATGGCACTGAAAAAAAGTGACTTATGACCATTTTTCACACTTATGACCATTGCAGCTGCCCCATTGTCATGTGATTCAAATTCAGATGCTTGGCAATTGATTCATATTTACGACGGTTGCAGTGTCCTGGGGTCATGTGTTCACCTTTTGTGATCTCATTATAGGCAAAGTCAATGGTGAAACCAGATTCATTTAACAACCATATTACTAACTTAACTGCAATGATTCACTTAACAACTGTGGCATGAAAACTTGTAAAATGGGGCAAAATTCACTTAACAAATTTCTCATTTAGCAACATAAATTTTGGGCTCAATTGTGGTCATAAATCGAGGACTACCTGTACTACTGACTCTCAAGCCAGATAGTATTATACCTTTGACTTTCAATAAAGATTTTGAAAAATATCTCATATGATTCTATCCCGAATGTGAGCTGGTCTATGTTTCCATTAATGAATATACAACTGTTTGAACAATAGTTTCCAAAGAGTAAATGTTAAGTGTCATGGTGAAATTGGAAGGGGTTGTCAAGAGATAATACCACTAAGTTCCATTTCATGCCCAATACAGCCCAATGTATTTATAAATGATTTCAATGAATGATTAGAAAATAAAATTATTAAATCTGCAGATGACATTATTGTTAAAAAGCAAACTCCAGAGAGCTAATTAGATTTAAGAAACTCTATAGCAATAAGCAGTAACCAGCAACATTAATTTCAACAAGAGTTAAATGCAAGCTCAGTATTTGATAGGAAAATTTTAAGGGCATGGGGACCAAGTAGCAGTACTTCCAAAAAATTTCCCTTCTGGATCATCAGCAAACAAGATGATGCAGCTACAAAAGAAGTGTGCTTCAACAAGAGTGCGTGATACATTTTGCATGAAAAACCAAAGACAGCTTGACAGTATGTTCAAGTACCTGAAGGGCTTTTTACAGAAGATGGGCAGACTTGTTCAAGACAAACAAAATAAGAAATAATAGAACTAAATTATAAATAATTACATCTTGGTTGGACAGTACAGAGAAACAGTAACAGCTGTTTCATAATGAAATTGACTATTTCAGGAGCAACATTTTAGAAATCTACGTACTTATTATGGAAGCCTATATAATCCTTATGCAGATTCTGATAAAAAATACAGTATTATACAATGCATTTTAGAGCATCTACTTTGAAAAAGCAACATTGTTTGGAAAGATTTCATGTGAGTTTCTATATGTCATCAATTATTTTATGTTTCTATTACTTTGTTGTATTGTTTTACTATCATTATTTGTTAAAATCTGTTTGTTTTGTATGTAGTTGTGGAAATTTTAAATTGCTCTATTTATAGTTTACATAAGCATCACAGAATGGCAGGATGGAAATGTATTAAACAAACCAACAAATGTGCAGAAGGGAAAACACTGATACTTTCTTCCATCAGGGGAAGGTAAGTGCATTTAGAAACTTCATAACCTCATTCTTTTTTTCTTTCTTATGAAATAAAACACAAACCATTTTTCCAGTTGCTTCTAAATTTCTAAAAATTAAAAAAAAAAAACCAACTGTAACTGAACTACCTTATTCAGGATCCAATCTTCTACTTGATTAAAAAAATTGAATTGGCTTATCATACTTTTATCTCTTCCAGCTTTTAAAAATCTATAAACTGTAAAAATCATGCAGTATCTTTCAATGTATCTTTATTAAGCTGTATAATCAGAACATATTTAATCACCAGATTCCAAAATCTTCATTTTTTTCTTTATCAAGCAAAAGTCTAGAAGTGGTTTCCAGGTAAAAAGTTTATTAAACGTTTTATTATTTATTATTAAAGTTTATTAAAAATTATCACTTTTAATAAAAGCAATCAGCGTTGCCATCTTAGCATGCAGTATTGTTCAATGATTAGCAAATACATAATTATCAGCACGTTAGTTGTGAGATTTTTCAAAGCATATGACTTGTCAGCAGAATTTTTTAAAGAAGATTATTATATTTCAAAAAATATAGGTTAAACTATAAAATTACAACAAAAGAGGGAAGGGGAAAAACAATGAGGAATACTGAAACCACAATTTGATGGATAATTTTTATTAAAACAAGGAATCTTATTCTTATATACAATAATTTCTGCAAGGCTTCTACAGGCAAAGAGGGAGGTGGATATAAAAACTATCACAATGAAGGGAAGAATTGTGAAATTAATGTAGTTGGCTAAGATGGCAACATTGACTGCTTTGATTAAAGGTGATAATTTGATTTTCTACATAGAAACAACTTTTAGACTGTTGCTTCAAAAAGAAAAAATGACACTTTGATTTTGGAATCTGATGATTAAATATGTTCTGATTCTCCAGCTTAATAGAGATGCATTTTTATCTTAAATTTTTATGTATTTGTTTAATCTGAAAATAGAGGATGTTTTGTTTTGCTATAGAAATATCTAGTAATATGTGTATTTCTGAAAGTGTTAATATGATGCATTTGTAGGTTATATATTTTATTCAGATTGTGATATACAGTGTTGCTGTTATTTGTATATGTTTTTATATTTAGTTTTATATCTTTATTTTGTTAAACTAAAACAAGAGTATTTTATTATATAGTTGTATCTGTATCGAAGAGTTTGAAGTAACTTTTCTATTTGTATTGTTATTATTCTTTTTGACAGCAGAAATTGTGCAATTACTACAATATTACTTTTGATATCTTGTGAAGCAATAGAACCAAATATTATCCAAACAGAGAAAAGTAACGTACCTGTCGAACAAAACTGTTTGAGGTAGTGTCAGAAGATGTACTCCCATCTGAGCCTTTAAATCTGTTTTTCCTTCTTGCACCTTTGCCGTAAGACTGTTAAAATAAAACATTAATTGCTATCATTTTACTTGGCATTAAAAATTGAATATACTATGTACACTCTAATCATGCATACTTATTTTGCTTATGCATTCAAGTAAAATTAAATAAAAATATTTTAACTTTGCATACATTTAATATTAAAAATAAAGAAGCAAAAGGCATACTTTTTGCATCATTTAATGCAATCTTGTATATTAGATTTTTCTAACTAACAATTCATAACAAAAGCATAGCTATATTGAAAAACTATCAAATTTGCATATGCCATATCATGTTTTAACAAGGAATATAGGGATATTCAGGATTCAGAAATAAAATTTCAAGAAATTCCTTCTCTATTGTTGGACAAAAAAATACAGCAAATGCCTTTTACTTCTGCATGAGAAGTTATCTATTTTACCATTATCTGAAACCATGGTTTGTTTATTCATGATTATATAAATCAATTAGCTATACTGAAAAAAAAAAACCTGTATTTTTTATTTCAATTTAACAGGGTAGTCCTTTTTTGTATATACTTGTTTTTCTACATAAAATGGATACAATGCTGTAAATGCTATTATTGTGTTCGCTCATATTTCACATTTTTTTCAGTACAGGTTTGCTAAGATGTATTGTAATTGTGATCCTAAATTATTTTCGGACCAGATTTTTCAATATTTCATCATTAGAATTTAATTTTCAGAACTACTCCTTAAAGTTACTATATAATTTACTTTTCACCATTCTATCTTAATTACTGTCATTTGAATACAATAAAATTTCTTGATCTTGTATATGTGTAACTATCGCAGATACATTTAAGGCTAAGGTTTATCATCATCTGTGATTCTATGTGGGCTTGAACATTGATTTTTTGATAATTCTTACATTTTACTTATATATATACTGTGTATGTGTGTGTGTGTTTACATACATACATACATACATACATACATACATACACACACATATATACACACACATAATATATATAAGTAAACTTAAGAATTATCAAAAAAGGGAAGCAATGTTCAACCCACATAGTATCATTCAGCACTATGTACTGAACTATGTACTGAACCATGACTAAATTATTTTGCAAGCAAAAAAAAAAATCTGCTTATTTCATAAAACATGATGCATCAGGACTTGGAAGTATGTAACAGATATCTAGTGTTTTCTATAGAACTGTGTAATTTTTTTCTAGGGAATTTCCTGAAATCTTACCACTATTTCTTTTTCAGCATGTTCAGTATGTTCTTCAAACATGCTCTCATTCACCTTCCTGCTCGTGGTGGTGCCACATTTTCTCCTTACAATTTACTTTAACATTATTTTCTCTTCAGACAACAACATCACCTCTTTTTCAGACCTCACTATAATTACATTAGTCTGAAAACCAATCAGAGTGATGACTAAAGTAATGTTTCCACATTTCACTCTTATCTGCTAGATAGAAAGCAACATTTTAAGGTGCTGTAATATGACAGTAAAATCCAATTATGGATCAAACCTGTTTCCTATAAGTAATGTATCAGATTAAATGCATAACCTCGGCAAAGTTTTTGGTTTATGAATTTCAAGGAGCCTTTCTTTAGGGATTCTAAAATTTTGCAATAATATTGCAAGGAATAATCAATAAATTTATGTGACTGCCATTCTATGAATAATAATAATTTATTTGGGATTAAGATTGGGAAATAAATAAATAAGCAGAGTCTTTTCTTGAGACTTCCCTTTGAAGGTAAAAATATTTCATTCCTTTTTATATGAGATAGTTGTTGCTCTAGAACTAGCAATAGTTGAAAAAAAAGTATTGCTGGATTTTGTAAATTATTTTTCTTTACAAGTTCCTTTTTGTTGGCAGATCAGCTTTAAAATAAAGAGTAATCCTCCACAAATTGTTCATACCACTCACAAGGATTGTGACCCCAACTTTAGAAGCCTGCTCTATATAATTCAGAGACTGGGAATTTCATCCTTCTGCATTTAGGAAATATGTAAACAACATTTGGGAGAAATTTAATTATTTTCTTGATTTCCACTGCCACATCTACCTTGCTCCCTAGGCAATAATATAGACATTCTGTTCTATTGTTCTTTATTATGGATTATCATATACTATTATATATATATATATTATCACATATCATATTATCACATATCACACACACATACTGTATTATCACATATTACGTATATTGTTTTAATTTTAATTTTGCAATTAAATCCACAATTGCAAAAGTCCCCCTAAACCAGTGGGTCTCAACCTTCCTAATGCCGCGACCCTTTAATACAGTTCCTCATGTTGTGGTGACCCCCAACCATAAAATTATTCCATTAACCATTGAAAATATGTGTTTTCCGATGGTCTTAGGCGACCCCTGTGAAAGGGTTGTTTGACCCCAAAGGGGTCCCGACCCACATGTTGAGAACCACTGCCCTAAACCCATAATTAATCTGTAATTTAAAATAAAATGTATGTTTCAATTATATTGTTATATTTGGGGAAGGTTGTAACTCAATAATAAGGCTCATGATTTGCATACGAAATATTTTAGATCCAATCCAAAGTATATTTAACTAAAACATAGTTACCTGTACACAGCCCTTGGCATGTTCATACAAGGATTCTACACTCTATGAAGCTGTAAAGGGCTTCACATTTCTGTGAGACCCTAACACTGACTGAATTTGGCATCTGAACTGATTTACTGAGAGCCAAATCACATAATAAGAATCTTTCTTATTATACAATGAAACTTTCCAGGTCTAATGAACATTGTGTGTCTTTATGAAGGAATCTAATGTCTCTTCTCTCAATTTCAGTGAGTTTCAGACAGCTTTGCAGATTCTACGGAAATGCTGTCTTGATTAGCAAAGAAGGAAACTAATATGCAAAATGACAGGCTGCTTCAAGGTGAAAACACCTTATAATGAGCTCCAGTTCCTCCAGCTCAGAATGTATTTTGTCAGAAGTTATACTGTTCTTCAAGGGAACTCATTCCATAGTTAGTGTAATTGGGAAATGTGCCTGGGTACAAAACTGATGATGCTAATGCTAATTCTATAAGTCTCAATTGGATTCTTAATACAAAGGGAATGATAGCTTATTAGCCAGATGGCTTCACCAACATCTGATTTTTCTTTAATTCTTTTTTTTAATAATAAAAACATGAACAGAATACAAGCTAAAATGGAAATAGAACAGAGAGGGTGTTATTTTGCAGCTAAAACATATTTGAAAGGTAGCACTAGAACTTTGTTTTCTTTTTGTACAAAATATTTGTTGCTCCAGAACAAGCAATATTTGAGAAAACATTCTGTTGGATCTTTTAAATTGCTTTATTTAGCAGGCTCCTATTTGTTGGCTAGAGGCATAACTCTACTTGTATTCCCAGGATGTTTTCAATATTCTGAAGTCAGGTGAAGTAAAGATAGTGGGAAGTGAGCCAATTGACAGGTCCATCTCAAACTGTTTTTGAGACATGGTGAGAGTGTGTAAGTGCCTCATGAAGAGCTACCGTCTGTCAGAGGAAACAATGATGTGTTTAGGAGCAGAAGGTTATGCTCCTAATAGATAGCAATAATTAGACAACCTTGAACAAGTAATTCAAACGAGCATTGGAAGTACCATTTTATAATGCCATGTGAATACCTTTGCATCACTTGCTTGTGCAGATCAATTTCCTCATGCTGAGGGTTCTTTAAATCCAGCTCTATGAATGGAATCCTATGTCAGTTTTCTTTCATACTTGTATTAATTTCCATTAGCAAAATCAGAAAATAATTCCTCTCATTTCTGCAGTTTCCCAGATTCTCTAACCTTTCCTTTCCATATCTCATTCCCTCCAATTCCAATAGCGTTAAAGAATCTTTAAAAGGGAGAGTCTAGGAAAAGTACATTATGATATGTTATTATTACAAGTTTCCTAAATTACTAAGAATATCCTTTGAAATGGATCTCAAAAGTGCTGAGGAGACTAGTGATAGCTATAATACACACTACAGTATTAACATTAAAACTATTCTAAGCAAACCAGGCATATGCACTGGAAAACATGTTTATATGCCCTTCCAGTTACCCAATATATTCTTCCAGCTACTCTAGGACTGAATTGACATAAGCCATGATTTAACCACTTTATTGAATGAACCATAATTGGCTATGTTTCTAAAACACACTAAGTCCTAAATCATGTTTTCCAAACCATGACTCAATTCATATAAGATAAGGCAAAAACTAAACAAACCATATTACGGTTTAGGAAAATGCATGAACCAAATGTACTTTCAGACTTTCAGCTCTGAAAATATGTATCTTGGGAAAAAATTCTTGTATGCTTAGGCAATGAAGTATATATAGTTCAAAAATAGTGCAAAGCTATGCATATTTAAATCATGATTTGTTGAATAAGCTGCAATACATGGCTCACATATCTTAAGTTAAAACTAAACCAAGCTTAATTTCATCTATTCATAGAAAAACATTTTTCTTGAATTTTAGCAGATACTGATCAAAAAGTCAGACTAGGGGGAAAAATCCAGTTGTACTTAAAGCATTAAAGCAATTTATTTTTATTCAATAATTCAAATGTTTCAAGGTTCTGTACAAAATAATAATCACAATTATACAATTCTATAATGCAACAGTCTGCATGACTATATAAATGACAATGAATGGATTTTTTAAAAAGAGTTAGTTGCTCACTGGTAATTTCATTTAAAGGATTCCAGAGAGAGGGAAAAACAGGACCCAAAAGGTATACATAATTTCTCAAGAAGTACAAATTAAAAAGTCATAATGATATATAAACATTCAAAAGGTTACTTAAACCAGAAATTGTCATATTTAGAAGACAAGTAGTAACAAGATGTACATATAAGGACAAATTACAGGACTACATCTATTTAAAATAATAAATAAGTACAAACCTCAAATTCAAACCATTAGGACTACGATTATGCAAAAATACAAATGAATAAGGATAAGAATATATGTGTGGTGGGGTGCATAATGAATGAAAGTAATTTTTTAAAAAGACATTGCTGATTTGGTGACATATCACAATCAACTTGTAAAATGTATGAGTTAAAAAAGAAACATTATGGCTGACACTAATTATGTAAAAGATGAGGTGAGGAAGAAATGGCAAGCAGCACTAACAAAACAGTATGAACGTTAATAGCTTGCAATATACAGCTACATATTTTCTGACTCCAATATAGAAATATAAAAATCTGCATTACAATAAAGGAAATTCAGAGCTAATTTATAGAATGGCATAAACAATAAATAACACAGAATATTTGTACGTCTAAAAGCCTTTTATGAAAACAAGGTCTTACTTTCCTTATCACACATTATATGATACATCCAGAAAACTGAATATTTTCATTCAGAAAAGAATGAATATCTTCTCAAAGCTTAAAATAGATGCAAAGAAAATATGTGCATCTAGTACAACTCTTTA